AATAAACAAAAACAAATCCTGTCCAGCAGAATACTAAAATACTCTCAGTCAGCTACCACCAGAAAAAACCCTTCTAGAAAGATCAAATGACTTCACTGTTTACTTTTAATATTCCACTGTGCACGTTAATCAGTTTGAGAGGGAAAAAGACAACGCTGCCTAGGATGTGTGCACCGATTCTAATGTTTTAAACTAAGGGAAATGTTTCCTATAAATGCTTTTCAATGATAGTTGTGAAGGTGAAGGTAATTTTTCCAAATAAAACTGGTGTATTGTAGAAAACAAGCTAACTATACCTCAAAATTTTGTTCCATCAAGTTACCACCTTTACTCAGGCTTTCCATGATAGCCTTATTTCGAAGAATATCCTCTTCACTAAGGTGTTCTCTCCTTTTCCTTGATTCTAAAACAAGTCCATTAACCAAGTAGAAGTCTGCCAAAAAGTTTCCTACTCTTTCCTGTAAGAAAGATAATTGAGATTAATGATCTCTAAAATCTTCAAGTAAAATAATTTAAAAGTCAAGTATACTGAAATATTAAAATGATTCTGTTTGATTGAAATAAAGTATAAAAATGAAAAGTTTTACTTAAGTTGTATGTAAGTACAAGTGCTTGCCTTAATAGTGCACTTCCCCAATCACATCAATGCAAGTGCTACTACTGCATGGACTCCTTTGGCGACAGAACTCCCATTAGCATGAAACATCTAATTAAGTCATCTTTTCCTGAAGAGCTAATTTGAGGGTTGACTGGGAAATCTGTTTTAACTCTGTGTCTGGAGAGGTCCTGAATGGTTGACTGTTTCAACTTAGGAGATGGGTATCTGTATCTATATAGCTATCCAATTTATTTTTGAACCCAGAGTTCAAATTCCATAAAATGGCATTCCCCCCACCCCGTTTAAGATGCAAACTAATGTATGAGTGGCACCACATAATACTTTAGGGACAGTCAAAACGGCTGCAAAACAGCTGCCTGTACATTTACATAAGGAAGAAAACATTATTTTCAGGCTCTATGTGCTTTCATTCTCATTTGTATAGCAGCAAGTGTTAGTTTATCTAACCTTTTTAAAACTCCTAAACTATTTGTCGTAAATGCTCCTTTGGCTTAGGAAATTCTTCCTTTCAGCATTTTAATTTTACTTCCTTATATCTCTGAGTGCTTTCATTCTTATGCAATAGGATAGAGATCAAACCATTTCCAGTAATTTCTGCTGCTGTATACAGAAACAAAACAAACCAAGTGCTGATGAGTTTTCAAGAATGCCAGTATAAGCATGCTGGCTCTACTCAGGTCAATTTTATACCAAGAAAAGGGGGACTCCTTTTTGGGAACTCCTTTAGGAGTAACCAAGCACCAATGATAACCATTGTTAAAGAAGAGATAATTTTCTTAAAATCGCTGGCCTTTTCTGTCCTGCAATATCTCCCCCATGAAGTCAGATTCTTCAGAGACAATCTTTGGTGAACAAAAGAAATAGTTTTCTGCTGCATCATCCAAAGGTACTTGTCATCCCAAGAGAATATACAAAAGAAGCTTGGAAAGAAAAGTTATACCTTGCATCTTTTACACACTCTTGTTTCTGTAAAGGTGCTGAATTATCAGTGCAATGCTAAAAAAAGTCCATATGGGTTGTCTAAACACTCTTAAGTAAGTTAATAATTCACTCAACAAAAACAGGAATTCAGCAAGGAGATCTGTTGGTTACAGTTGAGCAGTGGTAAATTGATGCCTGGCAAGCAATAACTGCAAACACAATGCAAATCCTAGAAGTTATCTGTTTTATATGGAACCAAAACACATTTCCTGGACAAACCTATGGCCTAAATAATACATTAGACATCTTACTGAAATGTCTATCACACCTTTAACAAATTGGTTTCAACTGCTAGAACTGATAAAATGTCCTTAAACACTAAAAGGTGGAACTTCTTGAGTCTTGGTCAGAAAAAGCCTTATTACACATTCCCTGATTGTTTTGGCTAATTCTCTTCCATCTAATCTTTTTATTAGGTACCCAAGCACTGATTTCTGTTGGAGATGTAGAAACATGTTTAAATAATACCACCAACCTGAAATCCGTATTAGCCAAACTCCATGAATTTACCTCTTTCCTATTCCTACTTCAGTTTTTAATCTCTTTTTTTATTTCCTAGATTCCCAGGCTACAGCATTTTGGGTTCAATTTTGTCTTTGCTCAACAAAACTCTAAGAATCCCTTTTCTGTTCTGCCTCATGCGGATTCTACTATCTGGCAATTTCTGAGTTTCTTCTTCAGCCATCACCTTGAAAGTCCCTCTCAACTCCAGGTTTACCACTTGGGAGACATGAGATTCAACATATTAAGTGCTAAAGACATATAAAGAAACACTCTTTTCTCTTCTTGGCTTTCTATCAATTCTATTTTTCAACAGTCACAAAAGAAAGGTTTGTTGCAGATTTACTGTTTTGTCTTCTCTGAAAAGCCATCCTGTTTGGGCACGTGTGAAGGTAATTGATTTGGTTGATAATGTTGCTGAATAAATATCACTGCTCATTAAAATGTCAACCTCTTCTTCCGTTTCCATCTCAGATTCCTAAAAGAAAATAAAAAACCCCAAACACTGAAATATCAGACTACAGAAGAACATCTTTTATTCCTTAATTGATTATTTTTTCCTCTCTGTCAAATTAAAAAAGTTTCAAGAACTAACTGTATAACTTTAAAGAAGGTTATACAGTATTAGCATCAGCATGCCTTATACAGTTGGTATTATGGAGAGAGATGTCTGAAACGCTGCCAGCAAATGTGCTGATAATTGATTGTATGGGCTACAGTCTCAAATAGTTTAGTATCTTTAAAAGACTGTTTAGTAATCCTCCCCTATACCAATGAAAACATAAATTCAAAAAATTTGCAAGGTAAAGAAACAGCATTAATTGTTAACTTTCAGCTCTGAGGTAAGGAATTGCTTACAATTCTGATAAAAAAAATTCCCATTTCTATAAAGAGACAGAAGAAAGTCAAAAACAATTTTTTTTGTTTTGTTTTTTCTCCCCTCATTAGGTGTCTGTATTCAGGCAAGCAATTTCCTTGTTTGACCTCATTGCCATATATTATTTGAGCCATATACACAGAAGCTGACTTTTTATTAGAATGCACATTTTATGACTAGGATCTCATTCACTAAAATTAGTCTTTACATACATGTAGCTTCTCACCTCATGATGTATTCGCTGGTAAACTTTTTGTTCATTGTCTAAAACTACAAAAGATTCAGAGGGTGCTGCATCACCATTAAAAATGAAGCTTAAATCCCCTCGTTGGCACTTCATGTCAGTAAAGTCTATTAGAGTTGTATCAAGCCTGTGGAAACAAACAAAAGGTAAAGGTAAAGTAACCTTTATAAAAAAGTTATCTAGACATATTAAAATACATAATTGAGTTCTTTTATCAAGCAAAATGCTATTTTTTTCCAATCAGCACATACAGTAAACCCTACATTTTTCTATCGTATTACATAAATGCATATTGGCTATGGCAATTATTTACTATTGCCGCTAAAAATGAATAGGATTCAATTCTACTCAGTCCCATGTTACAAATATATTTCAGGACATGTTTATATTTACTTTCATGGTAAAATATAATGCTTCCCCCTTGTCACATGGTGTTAACACAATGGACTTACAAATAGAATTTAAAAGATGATTTGCCACTTCATCATTTTGACTTCATAATTGTTGGCCATCAGGAATCAGACTCATTTTCTACAGCCTGCAAATATACTAGGAATTGGTCTAAACACAAGTGGCGTAGCTGGTATATATTACTCAAAGCAAGCAAGGATCACTGAATATGCAATCCTACTTTACAAGTGGGATTACAAGCTCACATTTACCGAAATCAGTGAGAACTAATCATACCTGGATTTGGACCAAATTAAGAAAAGGACCAGGACTGAATTTTGCTTTAGTCAGTTTTACTCTCGGCATTTTTAACATGTTTTTAACTTTCAGCGGCACAGTCACTTCTACTGACCTGTCAAGTCTCCTCCCTACACATACCTAACAGAATTCCTTTGATAAGCCTCCAAAATAACTATTTCTTATACAAACTGCTTATACAAGTGGTGCATGTGCACAGAACCAACTTGGACTTATCACAGAGAGATCTGACCTAAGAAGTCAGAACATTCTTCTCTGTTAAAAGCTTTAAAGGGAGAAGCAGTTTCTACAGAATAAATCCTCTGAATTATTTATTAACCTGATTTTCTTGATTTTGGAGCTTAAACAAAATAGACACTTGAATCCAACAAAAGCTATTCTCAGCTAATTAAAGAGCTGAGGTGGAAAAAGCCAAGAAAACATGAAATGTGTTGAATTTATTCTTCCTCCTTTTCCCTTTTGTTCCCTGCAAAATTATATTAGCATTCTTACAACAGCATAATTATGGTACAGCTACATTTCTGAACTATATCAACTTAAATTTTAATATTAAAAATAATTCAGTTTACATATTTCAGTGAATTATCATGGCAGGTAAGTACAATCAGATAAAAATGAATATATTTGCTTCAAATCCCCAAAACTGATTCAGTAAGAAATAAATATAATTATTCTCCATATAACTGAATTTAAAAGTTAGTTATTTCTGCTCAGTTACTTTTTAGAAGTATGTACAGTTGTCACACTCATTAAGTAATAACATTACCTAAGCCAACTTCTAAGAAAAACTTTAACACTTACAAGAACAGAAAGCTGCATTTTAGTGAAAAAGGATATTAGAAAAAAACATTTATTCCAAAGACTTCATGGGCTGCTTTTCCAGGATTTTACTGTGCTGAATCATATAAGCATTTAGATTTGAGTATATTAAAAAAGGGTAATACTCCCAATTATGCCCCTTAGATATTAAGTTCTCCTCAACACAGTAAACAGCAATATCTTAATCCTTCTAGGCATTAATATCTTTTTAAAATAAACATTTCTTCTTAAACTCCCCTAAAATTTAAGCATTACTTAAACAGGACAATATTTATTTTAAAGGCATCTAAAAATCTTCACAACTAGCCATGTAAGTATTTGGAATGCTGATGTGCACCTATGCACTACACTACTAAACAAAACCAGAGATTCTACGCTATTAAACAAAACCAGAGATTTTAAAAAGACAACCCCCTCCCCCACCATAACTGAAAAATATGCTATTTAAACTCTTCGGGGGGAGGGGGGGGATAAAGACTCCATGAAAGCCCACTGTTGCACCAAACTCTGAGAACTGGTGTGGTTACCTATGGCCTTCAAACTGAACTGGTATTTTATATCTGTACTGTCAGAATTTACTGTTTCCAATAATACCCATTTTGTTGTAACTTAACAAGGATACAGTTGTTACAAGTCAATACTTACCTGATATTTATACCTTGTTTATATATTTTACACGCATCGGAAGGCAGAATTCGGGAAAGTAAAGGCACTGCATTTGTAAAAGAAAAAAAAGAGTGATTAAAATAGAAATACAGCCAGATACTGCACAACAGACTACCTCAGCAACATCCATTTAATAAAATACTAAGCATTTCACTTGCCTTCAGGTATTGCTGTACTGTAAGCAGAAAATTATACTTTTCATAAGTTATGTTTTTGATAAAAGTGTAAATGCAGGGGAAAAGTGTAACCTATAATTAGGGATTACTGGAATGTGTGCCGGAAGTGCACTGTGCAGTGGCTTCTTTAATCTTGGAGTTTCCCCTGCATATGGCCCTCCCCCACCACCGCTGATTGGCAGAAGGGCCCCATTGGCTCTGCTGCTTGCCCCTGATAGACAGGGAGGTGAAAACCGCAGTTTTAAATATGCCACGGTTTTTGCCTCCCACTGCTGATTGGCAGAGGGCCCCACAAGCCCCACGACTTGCTGCTGACCATACAGCGTAGCTGTAGGCTGCACTGCTCACCACCCTAAGCAGCTGCTAGTAAAACAACACAGTTTAGGCAATACTTCTAGTATCTGTTTTCCTAGGCAAAAAGCCTCTAACATCACCACTCCCCACTGCCATGTGTTCTCTCTGTCTGCACCCTACTTGACACTGCATGCCTCTGCAGAAAGGTGTAGGGTCAGCTCATTATGCAGTCCACAATTTACTTGGCAACACAATAACTTGCTCACCAGCTCAAAATATGTTCATGGCTCAGTAAGTGTGTATTTCAACTCTGAATGCCTTGTCATTTACAACTGGGGGTTAAAAAAAAACAGAACAACCAAAAACCAAAAAGCACTTCACTTTAAAATTCTGTGCGCCTCCATGCCAAGCCCAGAAGACAGATTACGTTAGCTGGCCCTGGTTCACCCAACATCTGTATAGATCAGGCACTTCAGTGGGGCGCTTTTATCTAATAGCTGATTAAAGCCATTCCAATGTAATAAAATGAATGCTTGCTGAGCAAATTAAACTTGATATTCAGGATATCTTTGTTTCATTATATAAAATATTGAACTCCAGATTCAGTCATACTAATTCAAGATTTTTAAAAAGTTAATTCAGACATAATATGGCCAGCATTAAACACACAAAATATTCCTGCTATTTAAATGCTTCTTCTACAGGGCGTAAGGATAGCTTCTCAGTTCCGACCAAGAAAAATCAAAGAATTGCAGTTAAATTTATAAATAATTCTAAAAATTAATGTAAGGTAAAGTATAAATGCTGTGACTATATAACTAGAACCAGGTCTGTATCTGTTTATGTTGCCAGATAAAGATGATGTTAAACTAGAATTGAGACAACAAAACTCAAATTGGAGAGATGTTTTAATTAACCCAAAGCCAACTTTATGAACCCAGAAAATTTGGAGTCAAAATGAAATTTAAGAAATCAAAGCATGCTGAAGTTAGGGTGCATGAACCACTTTAACTCTGCCTTGTAGCAATATATCATAATGGCTGAAATATATTAGTGTGAGTCCCAGATTAGATTGAACTGTTTTTAAAGATTTAGATTTCCTTACTGCCGCCCCAGCCTTCTCTTGTGTCACTACTATAATTTGTTCTCACCTACTTTAGGGGAGGGAATCAAGCTCCAAATATGATCAAATGAGAACAACAAAATTCTTCAGTGTACCACCAGACTTTTTAACGCTCCAATACACAGACTAGATTTAGATTCTGCAAAGATCTAAAAGTTTGAGCCCTCAGGGGATCTCCCCCTCCCCCCCAACATACAGGTGATTGCAAGGGATATTACAGATTCTACTCCTTTATAACTATTTATAGCAAAGATAGCATAATTCTTACCCCAACTTTGAAAATCCCAGTGAAGTTCTAGATAGAAGTCACCTAGCTGAGAAGACACATGAATATATATTATTAATGAATATTAGCCAAACTGACAAGTGTTAGCTTTTATGGAAGACATGGAAAAAAAAGAAAATTTCTAAGTTAAATAAAAGCATATATAACCAAATAAGAAATCTAGTCCTCTCTCTAATATTAGCTTCTCAGGAATACTAAAATGAATATTTCTGGATCTAGATCAGAGTGAATAACACGATGCATTTTTTTCTTTCACTTTGTGTGCTGGTGTATTGCTGATTAGAAGCATATCATTTATTTTTTATTTGAAGTTATTTCAACAACTCAAGTTGCAGACTGAGCAAAAGCAATTAGTTGTAAATAGCAAACACTAACAATTCAAGCTGTGTTGCTTAGCTTTGATTGAACATGCCAGCCAGGTGGTACTGTTTTTCCCTGATCAGATTAGTGCAATGTAAAGTCAAGTCCCAGCTGCATTTAGAAGTTCATATTTTGCTTTCTGGAAATATTTTAATGTGTTCATAAAATTCACTCTTTAACACACATATACCTCCCAACTCTTACTGATTTTGCTTTCTGCCAAATCTGAACGAGGCATGAGAAGACTAAATGTATTCACTTTTGTAAAACAAACTGAAGTATTTACCTATTTCTAATATCAACATAAGAAGGACAGATATTAATTCCCAAGAAGATCAAGTCTCAGCAGAGAGGAGAAATGCTAGAACTACTTAACTAACCCTATGCAGCCACCTACCTCCATACAGTTCTACAGGGAATCTGATTTCTATTTTTCAGGGACCATTAATACATAAAATATAAATATTGAAAAATCTCCTTATATGTTGTTACTTCCTGCAGAAAAGTGTAATTAATATAAAATGTTAAAATCTTATCTCACTGAAAATTTCAGTAATATACATTTATAATTTATATAGAACTGGAATACCCTAATTTCCTCCCCCACAGTTTTTAAACTTTTTTTACCACATCATTCACTCAGAAAGCTGAAAGCACCTTGGATGTTTTAGAAGAGCTAGTGCTCTCACAACAGCTCGTGGCAGCAATTTGAAACTGGGCAGTTTCTGTCTGCTGGGGGAAGAAAAACTGAAAGAAAGGAGGACAGAAAAGAAAGAGGTAGTATCTTGTGATAAGACTGATATTTGTACAAGGAGTTTGTACTCCTCAGAAACAAAGCCTTCACATTTTGTGTGAAGGAAACAATTATCTAAGAAGAAGACTAAGATTTCATACAATTAGGGTGGATGCCCGTTGTTTGAAAACATTGGCATCATCACTGAAAACCCCAGAAGAAGAGAAGCTCCTTCTTATGTAAACTATGTTTTCTATTACAGATTCTATAGCTGAGGAACCTGCGTATCCTAAAGGCTCGTATAAATCAGAGTCCAATTAAGAGATTCATTCTCTAAACTGCCTCTTAAGATGAAAGAGAAGAATTATCTATAAATTATTTGCAAGTTAAAGGAGGAACTAGTTGGCACTTTCTTGGCAGCTTCAGTACAATGCATGGAATTAACTGGACGTAAAACCAAAATGAACTCCTTTTTCTCCTTCCCTGAGACAGGGTTCTACAAAACAGAATTATGAGATTATGACCCAATAAAACTAGGTCAGGGGATCAAACCATTTCACAGCATGGGTCATTTCTTAATGAAGCTGTCACATGTGAACCAGCATTTTTGTTCAATATTTTCTGTCTTTTGTTCAAATTGCAATCACAGTTTTGGTGTGGCAATCATATCAATTGCTTGCATCCTAAAATATTAGGAAATACTTGCTGTGCAACTGTAGTACAGTAAAAGCTTTGTTATCTGGCATGAGTGGGATAAGGGGTAGGTGCCAGTTATCTAAAAATTCAAGTAATCTGAGAGTTATACCTATCAAAGCAGACAGAAGCTCAGCATGGCCACCGCCGCTTGGAAGAGCCTGGCACTGCCCTGGCCCCAGCCCTCACTGGCAGCCTGCCCTGCCCCGCTCAGCCCTCTCCAACTTTTTTTTCTCCCTCCGCCTATGTGGATATCAACTAGAAGGGCTCACAGCATCAGTAACTAAATGTAAACAGAAATACCTGATGTGTGCGCTGGATAGACTCGGCAAAGATTCTGTTGGCTAAAGTGAGGATTTGTATTAGGGGATATTGAAAATTCCGGTTAGCAGATTATTCTGGTTAGTAAAATGCCGATTAACACAGCTTTTACTGTACCATGAAACAGCTGGAAATAATGAGCATGTGACCAGGTCACCAGCAATCGTGAATAGAAGTTTTGCAACCAGTGTTACACATATAGTAAAAATAGATGCTAAACAATGCCCGACTCTCTCAAATTGACAATAACTCGTGTACAAACTGATATTGCAATCAATCACTAGCATAGGACATCCTGTGAAATTAAAGATAATGTTAACCCCTTTTATTGATAAATCAAATGGCACTTCAACGTTAACATAAAATTGACAACATTTAGCTTATTTAAAAGAAGTAAAGAGAATATCATTTTTATCCCAGGATAGAACATACCATATTTACCTGAATCCAAGATGAGGGTTTTTCGCCCCATTTAAAATGGAGAAAAAGGCCCCTTGTGAGTACAAGCTGGCGGTGGGGGAGATGGACGGACAGACAGGGAAGGCATGCGCAGGTGGCTCTGCAGCTCTGACTCCAGTTGTGACACTGGCATGAGCACTAGTAGCTAATACCTATACACTGCCCCCCCCCACAACACGCACCCTTCTCTGTCACCCACCTTGTGCCCCCTGCTGCCTGCCCCCTCCACAGCCTCTACTCCTGTGAAGCGACTGCCCCTCCCCACCCCCTTACCCTCCAGCTCTGGCTCTAGCAGCACTCCAGCTAGGGGCAGGTAGCAGCTACTGCAGTGGCAGCA